TTTTGATGCATGGCCCCTGTCTGTGACGTCAGAGATGGCAGTTACTATCTGATGAGCTGAGCTGATAATTTAAATGGTTTTAACGAAGATTTATTGAACCTGTATTAATAGATTACGAGGAGAAATTTTCAGTATTAATCTTGGGGTCAAAAACAAATTGAGGATCTACTTTGCTGATTTCATTCCAAATCTTGAAAAACATATTCTTTTCTATGCTTTTTTCACGAAAGGTGAAACGCACGAAGTAAACACAGAACGGAAATAGACTCTGGATCTTTAGCCAGTTCAGTGGCCGAGCTACTATTTATCCTGTCCAGGTAACAATACCGCAGAAAATGTTTCATTCTAACTGGCAAAGTAGGTGAAGAAAATTCCATATGTGATTTACATTTAAACCCCAAGTCGCGTCATTTAAATTCATTGTATGCTGACGCTATCAGACCAGGTAATCTTTCATTCATTCAAGTTTTTATTGTTTCTATCTTTCTCTCTCTTTTCATCCCTGTTTCCTTATTTCTTTCTTGTTTTCATTCTCTCTGTAGCTTTTATATCTTTGTTTCTTGCAATTGCTCTTTATGCATTACTTAAACCTCCGTGCAGTGTCGTGTTCTTTGTCTCGGCTTCATTAATTTTCTTAATGAACAATGCATAAATATGGGCGTTTAAATTCAAAAGTCGACCTAAAGTGGAAGTAGCTCCTGCGGTGTCACATGACCTAATTTTGTTTAAATCTCTTTTGTGTGTTAATAAAGTACAGAATAAGTTTGCGGTCATATATAACAAAGTGTTATTTTGTATGATTGTTCCTTACGGGTGCGAAAATTTACAACAAAGTTTGCAAAGCCTCTTAAATAAATTACTCTTGACACGAATTCGTGATTTATAAGGCTGTGGACATGTTAACAAATGAGCATCGTGTAAAGCGGTTGTCAGTTGTTGCAAGCTTAATGGCGAAGGTCTTTCTTGTTTTTGTGTGAAGTTTAAGTTCTTCAGTGGCGGAAATTACCTTAAAATCCTTTGTGGTTTTCTTCGAAATTAAAAAAAACAAACTAGATGCATAGAATTGTTGAGGTGCTACATGAATTAAACCAAAGGAAATGTCAAGTAGGTGCCATTTCTTACAACGCGTAGAATGTAACACTTCAGTTGTGCCCTGATGATCTTTTTCCGGATGTGAACCACTGCGTTACTATGAGATCTTATCTCGTTTTTTCCCTTCAGCGCATTCAACACGGGGTGGATAGAAGGGGTACGTCATACGTCTTACCATTGGACATGCAGTTAAAGAACGACGAATTGTCTCTGAATGACGTCACCACATTTGCGAAATATATACAGTGACTCATTAGCTCAGTCAGTATAGTGACTAGCTACGGGCTGGACGACCGGGGTTCGATCCCCGACGGGGGCAGAGGATTTTTTTCCTTTAGCCTCTGCGTCCAGACCGGCTCTGGGGCCCACCCAGCCTCCTCTACAATGGGTACCGGGGTCCTTTCCCGGGGGTAAAGGCGGCCGGGGCTTGATGTTGACCACTCACCCCCATCTAGTGCCGAGGTCAAGAAAGAGAGGAGCTATACCTCCACTCCCCCAATGCGCCTTTACGGCACGTAGCTGGACAAACTTTACTTTACTTTACTCATTAATTCAGGAACAGAAAGAAATTTCGTTCTGTTGTCGAGCGTGGGAAATGCTAAAAAAACTCTACCCTCTTTCTTACTAGTCCCCACTTCTCCTGTGGTAATCAACCCTTTTTATCTTAGGATTGCCAGGTAGAAGAGATGACATACAATTTTTCCGATGGACAAGGATTAATAAGGAAGATTATCTTGGGTTTCGACTTAGAAACTCCGATAAAGCATGATTGGGTCTAAGGAAATATTCCGGGGGGTGGACCTCAATGATGGACAAGTGCAGAACCTTGTGAAGAAAACACGCTGTTTTCTCAGCATGGTGACATTTTCATTTCCACTTCGCAGCAGTAGCCAACAAACGTTCGGTTAGTTGAAAATAAGCTTCAGTCTCGCGAAATCTTGGTTAATTCAGATTCTTATATTCTTAAACGTATAGTCAGATGGCAATGTTAAACTGTTTAGACGCAAAGTAAAACAAACTTACTGCGAGATCAATATACTACTGACGCACAGAGAGCTAAAACCAGAGTCCGCGATACGAGGACAAAGCATCACCGCGAATTCGAATACAGGCGGCCCATTGGTCCTTAAGTTAAAGCCTTTGTGAAGTTGCTGTTATTTGTGCTTAGCTGACCGGATTCTGATTGTACTAGCCTGAATCTATGTCAAGAATCACAGTAAAATGCAACTAACAGGTGTTTCGAAGTATATTGGAATTCGTAAGGGACTTTAAGGTTTTCCCTACTGAAAACTTCACAGCTAACTGTCACAAGGGTGACTAACTGAATGCATACAAAGCAGCTAGCCCTCTAGTAATTTCTATTCTATGCTGAATTACAAAATGATCCGCGTGGCCAAATCGTAGTCCTTCCCTTTATGTAAACCGAATTCTGATATCGAAATATCCAATTAATTTCCACCTCTCAACAGAGTTTGTCTAGATTTGAATTTAAATCTAACTGGCATACTGTTCTACTTCCCCTCAAACATGACCGAACAGCTACGAATAAAAAATCGAACAGAGCATGGAAGCTCGAGTCACGCCACTACTTTCGATACTGTGCCCTGATCGACTCTCGGACGAGATAATCGCGATTCTGGAGCTCACCCTGTTCCTCCAAGCGAATGTTCAAACAGTATCTTCAAATAAGCAACTTCGATTATTTCCTCAGTACAGCTAGTTCAGCGGTACCTTCATTGAATGTTCATACTTTTTATCCGTCTCCTATATTCTAAGAGACAGCGTACTAGGTATGGCTTATGTCTTATTATAAATCACAAGTAAGTGGGTAATCCTACCATTGCACAATACTCGGAAATGCACGCAGCCGAAATTCAACCTTCCTAACAAAACAATCCAAGTTCAGAGTGCTACCACTATAACAACCTGCTTTATCCATCGCTACATCTACTGCTGAGTTTACCTAAGGAAAATGTTCTAGGCGTATTTGGCTTCAGGGACTGAGAAATATGAAAAATATCGAAGATTACCGGCCCCTATTCGAGATTAAAACTCGATACCTCTGGATTGTGAGTCATACTGCTACCGCTGTGATTATTCTGTGTATGTTTCTCCAAGAAGCACCATATCGCTGAATAGAAAGTAAGTTAATCTGAGTTCCCATGCAATGGGAAATCAAACATGGCGGAAAGCGTGCGTCGTTTCCTAAAACTAATCTCATAGGATAGTGATCTTGGTACTTTAATGAATGTGAACTGTAAATGGCACACACAGACAACACGCAGAGTATTCATGCATTCGTTAAACGTAAATGGAAATATTCAGTGTGGCATTTACCTCATGAATTTACTTGTTGAAATACTTAATTATTTGGTATTATACCAAAATGTTGGCCGTAGAGGTATCTGAGTATGGTGCGACAAAAGCTTGAAATTGTGTATGTTGCTAGTTAATATAAAACATATAACTTTTAAAGTCTCACTTTTGTAGAATGTAAAAACCACTTGGCTGCCAAATCTGTAGATAGTTTTTCGTTTTACAGAAACAGTTTTGCTGAGTATGAGAAATATAACAACAAAATGGACTACAAACTTTCTTACAGATTTAATCAGCCATGGCGACCACGAGATGTAGTGATATTATTTGTTATAAATTTGAGTTTGTTGAAAATCTACGCTACTGGAACACCAAGGATTTAAAAATTATGTGGTAACTAAATAGCGCAGTTATTATTCAAGCTACATTTTCTATATATAACTAATAACTTTAAGACATATAGGATCTCAAATTCTTGCAATATATTTTTGTCATTAAGCAAATTTTAAATGTAGCGTGGAGTACAATATTAGGAGAACCCTCCAAAGTGATTTGAAAAGAATGGCTTGACGGGGGAACAGTAAACACTAAACAGATGTAAAATAATTATTTATGAAAGAGAGAAACGCAAGAATATTTCGTTTTGTTGTTTATCAGTGTAGCCTTCAGCTGTTACCAACTCACAGTGGGTATTTCTAGGCAAGAGTTTCAGAAATTTACTAAAATTTAGGTCGCTTGAAACACAGATTAACGATTAGGCAAATTTGTCGACATATACGAAGTATGGGAAATTGCCTACCGCGTTACTATGGTCACGTACTAATGAAGCAAAAAAATATATCCGATTTATAATTTCTCTGAAACTACACACACTTTGGAGAAAATGTATTCTTAATAAAAATAAATACTTATTTCCGGTAACTGACGAAAATTTTATGCCTAAAACAATATTTACTTTAGTTTAGAAATACATAATTCTAACCATTTATTTAATGCTTCTTTTGCAGTGGGACTTTGTTGTCTAATTTGGGTTAAAATTGCATTTTGTCAACTTCCTGAGTTTTGGTCAAGTCTCGTAATACCAGCCTAGTTGCACCACACTTCCTTCGCCAAAATCTTGACGATCTATGAGTATGAAACAAATATGTCGGCAGACGTACCATATTCGAGTGAAACTTTTTTTTTACTGTAGAGGAAAAATATAAATTACAAATGTTCTGAAACTAAGTGATCATGAAATATTTGTTCCCATGAAGAATGAATTAAGTTGTCAATTTTGTATAGGCCTACTGCAAAATAAGGAACATAATAATTTATACTGGTCACCTAGCGTTATTACCGTCATGAAATCTAAGTGATTACATTGGGCTAAGTATGTACTTAGGATGAGAGAATTGGAATGCCACTTGAAATATCGAGAAGGAAATGGAACAATAACATTGAGATGGACAGGGATTTTTAGGATAGCAGTTGGACAGAAATTTCTTAATATCAATTCAGTATTTGGCTGTGTTCTACCTTCTGATACTACTCCAATAGCATTAGGAGTAGACCTCTTGTTACAACACTAAATTTCGTTATCTTGTTTGCAGGACAATTACAACGCTCTTCACATTGCGGCTATGCATTCTAGAGAAGACATCGTGAAGATTCTGCTGACCAAGAAGGGCGTCGACCCGTTTGCATCTGGAGGGGTAAGCAACAGTCAAATTGTGATCATTATCACTACACAAGATAAGTGCAAATAAAGTATTTAGGTTAGAAATTTTAAGCAAAGTTTTAGTTGTCGCTTATGAAGCAAGTTTACAAGGGATACATCTTAAAGTGATTAATCGAATAATCGATGTGGATTACGCGTCGTTAAATAACACATAAAATATTTTTGTGCAGTATATGTGAGATTTGAGGTTCTCAAGGAGATGAAGATGTTGTTATTCTGGATTCTCATATCGTGTTGACTTATAGGAAGATACTATCGTTTTGGAGGAACATACTTCCTCCATCTTCAGTACTTCTTAAAGATGGAGACACCACGTATCTCTTCTGTTTACAGAATACAGTGTTATGTTCTCTGAGCCACCGGTTTACTGTTGTATCCAAATCGTTATCCATTTTAAATTTTTGGACAGCCTGGTGTGGCTTTATATATTTATAGCCCTCAAGCAACACCTGTGAGGCCATAGCTGATGATGAGGAAATATCACCAAACAATGGTCCAAAGATAAGAGCACGAACTTATATTGTCAAGAGTGAAAGATACCAATCCCATGGTATAATAAATCTGTCTATACATAAATAATTCACGAGACGTTCATTGACCTATTAGCCAATACGCTGTAGCGCAGTCGCCAAGACCCATAAAACAGCCTTCTTCGCACTGACTGGAATGAGAACCTCAAATCCCATGAAGTATTATCACCATAAATTATTCATTGAATTAATTCAAGATACATATCTTTATAAACTTGCTATGTGACCAACTATTATGCCCAACGAGAGTCAACCAAATTGTTAGCTGTGCCATTTTGATATTGTTTATGCTTTCAATACAAAGTAATGAAAAGTGTTAAAAGAGAAAATAAAAACGCTGAAATATGTAGCACATATCAGTATACAAACTATCAATGAATATAGTATATAAATGAATTATTAAAATGTTTAACATAATACAATTTTTAATACGCTATTTATAGTAGGGTTTGAGAACTTTTCATATTAATATTTGTTATAAATAAATGTTATAAATCAATATACTTCTTCATCTTCTTGCTTCACAATAAAATGGCTGCATAATATGCATCTTCCAACGCAAGCGTGTAAGTATTCAACATTCCCATAAAATTATTATTCTATGTAATTAATAAAGCTTAAATGTAACCTTGTTTATGTTAGACCCTTGTAAATAATAAACTTTAATTTTTAATTTGCAAGGCTTTGTAATTAATTAAACATTATAAAATATAAATACTAATATGAGCACACTTAATTAGACAATATCTGTACCTTAATAAAAGCTTTGTAACATATATACTATTCTTAAAATTATTTAGCAAGATGATCTTATATTTCGTATCTTAAATTAAGGCTGGGTTATCCAACACGTTCTAATCGCGGGCCGCATTATCCCGCAATTCGTAAGATAGTCGTACTAGTTGTGCATTAGAATTTAAGCTTAAATTATAAATAAGATCAGCGTTGGAAGGGTTAAATATGTCGATGGCGGGATAGAAATATTTCTGCCACTAAAATAATCTAGTATTAAATGGTTCTTTAGTACACTAACTTTAAATAAACTAATTTTATTAATTTTCAGCAAAATTAAACATACAAAACTGTCATAAAAGTAGAGAAGTGCTTTAAAAAACTGCCAAATTATCGTTATTTTACAGAAAATTGTTGCTACCTTTTGTTATAGCTGTGAGTAGACTTTGGCCTGAAAGCTATAAGGAGGTTATAAGCAAACGAATAAAAGAAATATTTTCAAACCACGATATATTGATAAGGTGGGAACAAAGAAGCTACATAATTTAGTTAGTGACTTTTATGCATTTACAAAATTTAAAAAATTAAAATTGTGTATGACTACTAACAAATGAGTAATTTTAAAATATTTTATTCTTTGGTCTTCGTGTTTCCTTGTTATAGATAGAGGACCATTGTTTAAAAATGAATCATTCTAGAGAAATCAGGTCACGTATGGTCATAAATTATTTTTTACTTGTTGCGTTAAATTAGGCAAAATTATCGCTTAAGAAGCATCGATCTACGAACACGTAAAATTTAATCCATTCAGGACATACATATGCCTGTATCCAAATCTTAGGCCATAGTTTTATCTAATGATTTTTATTACCTAGTGGTTCTGGGTCAAATATCTGCTATTGCTTTTTCCAGGGAAAATTCCGTGGTGTCTGTCAGTTTTAAATACCATTTTCATGTGCAGGCCTATATTTCGGAATAAATACGGGCCTTCAGTCGCTGTGTGCGTTAAAGATAAATATGCTGAAATAAAATATGGGCCTATACAATATAAAATAAATCAAACATTTACAACCAAATTAAGTTATCACCATAAAAGTGGTTATCTTCGTATATTATTAACATTTAGTAAAATATCTACTAGCCGTGTTTGAAAATGGTTTCTAAATCTTTCCGAGTTATGGACAAGAAACACGGTAGTGATTTTTCAAAGGAATAGTATCCAGCCTCTATCACATTATATAGTATAAATATAATAATAGTCTACAAATCGAATTATTGCTAGCAAGTCTTAGGAATTTTATTTAAAACATAAAAATGAATGTCAGTGTTTATATTAAAACCGAAGATATCGTATATCATAAAAAAACACGGTGAACATCCGTTATTAAAAATTGTACACACAGGCATTTAGATAATTTGTCAGAAATTTTCATGTTATCAGCTACGTATAAAGGGAAAGAAACGTAATCATAATTGGCTTAAATTTTCAGAAAAGTAGTAATGATAAACACAAATTATTTAACCACTGACATGAAACCAGATAATTTATGCTCGTAAAATAGTCATTTTTCCACAAAATTTACGAACACCATCAGTCATGATAATCAGCTTTTAGATTGAGGCTTAAACCCGGGACATTTCTAGTACGAAGAACAAGTACTGACCACTGGGCTAAGATGTTTACTGGTTAAAAGAAACAAATGTGAACAAACACTTTTGTGTGTATCATGGGGCCCGCAATTTACGTGTTCCATACCCCTGAGATTATTTTGAAGAACTTCATGTACTCTGCATGACATTGCTTGACCTATTGACTTTCAGTTATCTTCGCCCTGTTCTGGAGCAGGCAGTAGTTGTAATGTAAATCCGTGTCTCGACCAGGCAACATGTGTTGCAGAATATAGACCGCACTCCGATTCATCTCATGGCCAGACGAAAGGATTCTCCACCTAAGCTAAAACGTGTAATTAACCGTTTATTAACACTGTTAACCTTTTTCATACAATTATGCTCAAATATGAAGCGGCGTAGAATAATTTAGTAAACGTGTTGTGATTTCCTCTGGTTTTTAAAATCCAAGTAATATAAATATATATACTTCGAGAAAAGAGCCTAAATTCCAAATTTATGAACCCGAAGTGAAACTCAGAGAAAACAAAATGAAAGTTTATATCTCACCGCTAGGAAACTGGACTAATTAATTTTAAAAATTGTAAATAAATTTTCGGAAACTATCAAAATTCACATATCTGGGAAAGACGTTTAGAAGTTGCAAGCAAAAATAAAGAGTATTTTATCTTCCAACCTCATATCCTCCTATATAAAACGCAAAGATTAAAATACGCTGTATTAAAATATAATTTTAATGGCTGTCTTCTAGGTCGTTGCGCCGTGTAGTCTGGTAGAAGTTATCAACGTTTCAGAGGTCCTTGCTGTCTCTATAATCAGAACAATGGTCTGTAAATAGCCATCTTCATTGTCGCCGTAGTGGAAACTCACAATATCACAGTTTTAATGCTATTTTATTAGTGTGAAACTTGGTATACTACCACAAAAAACAGAGCGACTGTTAAGGGTGTCTGAGAATAAGATGGACCTACTGAGGAAAAAGTTCCAACTAAGAAAGATGAAGTTGGAGGATATTATGAGATAGTATTGGTATCGTACTTCCGTTCTGCGTGTAATATTATTAGGGAGGGCAAATAAAGTTGGGAGAAACATGTAGTGCCTGTTAAGGAAAGTGGAAATCACTTCAATGCTTTGGTTACAAAATCTCATGCCATCAGGTCATGTAGTGGGCGTAATCATAAATGAAAGGAACGTTTTTAAATCGATTTTAATAAAATAGGGTTTTAAGGTTTAATTACAGGCTTCCTTTTAACGCGGTGATGAATCTCTGGATTTCATAACGGTTAAACATCAATGAGGTCAATAACTGTCACTTCCTGTCGCTTGTAGATGCACCAGATTCCAACTGCAGGGCTTCAAAATTCAGTCACCTAAATTATAGGAAAAACGTGTGAACTGGTTTACATAAATACCTAGAGGTCACTTTGTGGGGAAAATTTAGACTGAGCCAAACGTATAATTGATTCTTCATAAAGAATATTTTTCAGAGGACTCTAATGAAACCTAGATACCACCACTTCTTGGTTATCCGCGACTTATTTTTCAGGATATTTGCAGATACTTTACGTTTTTGTAGGCCCTTATCTCCACCCGCAAAAAGATAATAAGTAATAACTAAAATATAACAGGCAAGGAAATTAGATGGATAAGAAAGACAGATTATTTACACAGTTACCATATAATTTAAAATAAGTTATATTTACGTGTTATATATAATAAAAATTCCATAACACTGTATGAAAAAAGTAAACACTGTTTTAAAATAAATCACTAACATAATTAATAATAAAAGTAGTTAAAATTGTGTTTGCTGGAAGCATAATGTAGCTACCATAGCAGTGATCACAACACTTGGATTCCTATAACTAAAAAAATTTAATACAATAAAACCTGCTTATAACAGAATGCTAAGAAATTCGAATGTTTTTCGTTTGAGACTTGTTTCCGTCTTAACATACAAAATATTACACACTACATACTCCATACACTGTTTTGTTAAAATTGCAAGCCAGAATTTCGTGCTAAAAATTTACAGAGAAATACATAATATTTTATTATTCTTCCTTTTTACCCCATTAAAGTATTTACACTTATATCTTTTCGGTCGGGGTCAAGTATTTTCAATCTCTGACAGCAGCATTCCTCTCAAAATAAAATTCTAAAAGCATGGCGCAAAACAAAACTACATAAACATAAAAAATAAAGTAGACAATTCTCAACTTTTCTTTTCGCTTTCACGTGAAACACCCATGTAACTTTGTATTCGTTTTAAGACATATACTCGTTGCCGCTGATGTTTTCCGGTAAGTGCAAGTTTTGCTGTAGGTGTTCAAATTTCTGTTGTAGCAGTCAGGTTTTACTGTATAACACGGAGTATGTCACCATTTAAATACTTTCAAAGTACAGTCTAATGCTTTCTCCTTAACTAAACATGTGTTATGCAGTGCTAAAGCACTGCCACATCTATTATTAAAAAACCTCATAACTTAACATTAAAAAAACTTAGATGTAGAATGCGTGGAGTAGTTGACAATAGCACAGATTATTTTAGTCTAAAAACGTGGAGGGAAACGGCTACTAGGAAAAACTAAGTATAGATGGCGGTATAATATTTAATTGCCCAATGATAGGACTATTGACAGTTTTGTGAATGCGATAATGAACGGTAATGTAGGATTTCATAGAAACATGTGATTTGATTACGTGTGTGACTAATATTCTGTCAACATGATCCGTGTGTTAAAAACATAGAAACTCAGTTTGGGAAGCAGTTAGTGCACTTGTATGTCTCCGATGTCATGTGATACACAAAACGTTACTGACTGCTTGATGTTCAATTAACAGCCCAGAATGCAGACAGCGGTCCACCTGGTAGCGAGCCGGCAGACGGGAACGGCTACCAGTATACTCAGGTTACTGCTCAACACGGCCGGCAAGGAGATTCGCCTCAAACCCGACTCGGTAAGACAGTTGCAGTAACTGAGATAAGTGATTACCGGTACAAGGTTATCGAAAAATAATGACCATATTTTAAACAGTTACATTATATAAAATACTTTACTTACAAAAGAAATGTGTTTGGTAAAGAAATACGGTCAGATAGATCGAAAAAATTATTCACCTGCTTAATATTCTAATTTAGGAAGACTTTAATAGATGAAATTACTTCTCAAATAATAAGGAAACTGTTAAATTGCTTATTTCCTTAAAACGTAGAACTATATTCTAACCATGTTACCAATCGTCGCAGTTGAATTTGTGACAGCTGCTTCTTATTCTGTAGGCCTTAGGTTCAGATCTCAGCTCAGAGACTGCATGTTCTAACATGTAACTCTCTCGCACCACGCATAAACCTGTATCGTACTTCACGTAAACGCCTTTGTTGTTATATTTCGATAGCAAGCACAACAGAAGTGTCAGAGAAGTTGCCGAATAATCAAGGCGATTGTGGTAAAAATTTTGCTTCCTTTCCCAAGTTTCTGTTTTTTATAGATTGTGGCCTTTGGGCTGTGTCGTTACGTACGTTTTGTGTGTATGTTGTGTACGTGGTTACCGACGTTTCGGAGGAATGTGTCGCCTCCATATCCCGCCCAGAAAACTACTATCTACATTTTTACCCTAGTGGAAACATCGAATTCCATACAACAAACGTTTAGTTAATTTTTTTATTGTTTCCTGAATTGGTTTATGATTTCCCTGGCTAAAGTACATGTTACGTCTAAGATTCTGAAAGAACCGAGTTCGTTCCTCTGATCCCTGTCAAGTTTCTACTAATGTCTATCCGTCTGCGTTATCCTCAAGGATTTAGTTACGAGCACATTTATCGAATTTCTTACAACTGTGCATAATCATGAAGCAACTAAAGTCCACGTCATGTGCGAAATTTCTAATACACAGCAACTTCAAACATCGGGGTAGTTTAACTCACCTACCTGATTCGCTCTCGGGAGGCGCCGGGTTTGAAGTTAGGCCTAGATACCGACCGTCCAAACTAAAATTTATCGTGATTTTCTTCACTTTCGACAGACAAGTGCTTGGAAAAAAGAAACCACTGACGTTTCTTTCACAATTTTTTTTTCCAATTTATCGTAATAAATCATTCTGTAATTCGATACTGTGTATTCTACAGAATAATATATAATTTTAATTGGGGAATGGGGATTTTATAAGCGTTATATATTAAGGCCACTGGAGATAATTATGTTAGAGCTGTGGACAGCAAAATCCCGGTGTTAGGCAGACACATTTTCTGTATAAAAATATTGGTTAAATGACCGCATTAAATTCGTAATATAACTGAAATTCAGTACTGCTTTTATTTTCGAGTCTCATTAAAAATTCAAAGACTTAGATCTCAATTTAATTTAAAAAGGAATGAAAAGCTGTAGTTGTTTTAATTGAAAATCAGGTGTGCGGCAAATATCAGGAGCTAAACTGTAATAACTTAGCTGTACACGCAGATCGACGCTTCAAACGAAGGTGGGGGGCGTCATTATGACACAGAGGAATGGAAAGAATAGAATATAACGGTATTTTGCTGGTACTTCGCGTGTCCTTCCAGATTTTGGTGCGGCCTGGTACCGACATCCCCTTACCTCGCTACTCATTTCACCACAACATAAACGGCCTAAAGGCAGTTCTCGTAAATAACCACTATTCATAGTACATACGAGTTTCAGACCATGGTTTTGGTTTGAAAATATATTTATTTAACCAGACTTTGTCAGTTGCATTGTGAATTAAAATGGTCGTGGCATGTTTTAAAGTCGTATTCCAGCATATGATTTTACATACCAAAGAAGTCAACAAGATTCTCCCTTGTTACAACTCAGGGTTTGTAATCTGCTGCTCATGAAAAATTAAATCTGTCCGCGATGTCCTCTCCCTGTTAATAAAACGAAAGTTATTAATTTTTCATACTCAGTAGCCTGCAGAGAACAATTGTATTGTATTCTAAAAGAAATAAAAAAATTTAAGTAGGTTCCTTGTTACCACTTTATAGATCGTCATTAGACATTAGATCGACCAAACTGCCTTCATAGAGGATAGTTGAAATATTATTAAATAAGCAACCATGGACAGCTGACAAGGTGACTGGAGCGCGATCTGACAACCTCTTGCAATAATGGAAAGCAACGTGCGTTGCTGTGGTAGGTAAGACTATACTGGGGGACACTGGGAACGACCCGTTCTTCAAGTGCCTGAGCACTTCGGGTCCCAACTTTTCGTTGGCTTGGTCTATAGACATTCGGTAGGACTCCTTGGATGAGGGATCGGCCCGTCGCAAGGCCTCTACCTGTACACAGGACAGCACGACACAGAAAAACGCGGCCACACATCCATGGCTTGAGTGGGATTCAAACCCACGGTCCCAGAGACCAAGCGGCACAAGGCCCGCGCCTCAGACCGCGCGGCCACTGCGGACCCCAGGTAAGACTATGTCTCTGTGAAACTGGACCTCTAACTAGCCTTCGACCATTCTCCAGATGAAATAAGTGTAAATATGGAACAGAGGTGGGATAATACTGACAGGGGAAACTCAGAAACTCAGAAAGGAAGCTGTCCCAGTGCTACTCTGTCCACCGTGAATCCCACGTGGACTGCCTCTGCGGCGACTAACTGCTCGAGCTATGACATGACGAAAGCAGCGTGTTACAAAACTCTACGCAGGACCCTGGAGTAGGACGGACTCTTTGGCACGACCTCGGCAACGGGAAGTCGTCATGAGGTTTCTATCTTCGAATGTATGGCCCAATGGCAGACTCTTGTGAATACGGTAATGGAATTTTGCGTTGCATAAAAGACGGTGATTTCAAAACAAAAGACTGAGTCTGCCTACTATTGAGTTCTTCCTGTACACAGCTCTAATACAACTCTCTGTTATTGTACGGTATCTGTTCTTCTAACTATAATTTTACCGCTGCCTTCTCAACTTCCAGATATTATTAAAATTGTGATGTAACATCCGGTGTGTTATGTTGATTTTTGTTCTCTTTGTACTACATGTTTCAACCCAATGTGGCCATAACCAGTTTCGAATACACGTTCGAGGTCATTGTACTGGGACAATTACTTATTAATTCTTTCTATATAGTTTCAAATAACAATAAATAGACGGGTTAAAACTAATTTAGATATTTTAAAAATAGTTAACACAGTTAACAAGTTGTCAACGCAGCTTGGTGAGTTCAGGTGTGTTTGTATTCTGAGCTGTCTTGTAATGTATCATTGTAGAATGATCATTCCGCCTAAGTCGAAATATTTTCCTCAGTATTCCATTCTAAAACACTCTCTCAATGTGTATTCTTTCCGTAACGTGAGAAACCAAGTTCTAAAAGACACACAATAATAAGTAAACTTATTTTGTTTGTGTTTCATTCTTAACAATCTAAAATATTGTGCTTAGTTTACGAACTACAGAAACCACTTTCACCGGGACCTGAGCTCATTACATTTTTTCGGATATTTACCTTTCTAAAATATCATCCTATTTTCAATGTGTAAACATGCCATGTTTGGGAGAAACTAGTGTACCGCTTGTCCAGTTGTAAGTGAACATGCATACTCACAGATTCAATGTTACATAAAAGACGTCGTTAATGGTTGTGCTTTACTCTCGAGATTAAATAACCGCTAGTGTCCTGGAAAAAGCAGGGGAAACATCTCTTGCCTTTAGCATTTATAATGCGTATTGGATATATATTTCACATACCGTAACTTGAGCCACTCTGCCTTTCAACCTCAAATAGAATAAAAGTTGATACGTCTGTCGTGTCACGGGAATAGAGACCCTCGAAATTCATATTTTATCAGTAAACAAAGATACTATCTAGCTGTCTTTGGAGCTTTCCAAACTATGCAACCATGCGAAGTGTCGTGCTAAATATTAACATTTACAAAAAATGTTATTCTTGGATGAAATTTAAATTCGTTTATGGAAATTTAGAGGGACAATTTGAGTAGGCCTACATACAATTCGAGAAGTGATATTAATGCTGACGAATTTTGATAATTGTCTGTAATCTACAACAAGCGTATCAAATCTAGTGTCTTCTACGAGACGCTTAGAAATTAGGCAATTGTTTTGGGGGTCATTATATTTATAGGAAAAATCATAACCGCCTAGTTTTAAAAATTCCAGGCAGAAGGTTAGGTTATGGGCTTTTTTTTTTTCCTCCATATTCTCACAAGCACGTAAAAATATGTATTTCACTGAAACACATTTCCATTTAATTTAAATGAAATATAAACCAGTCACTATATGGCATGAATTTTAAATATATAATTTTTTTTAAAACTGGGACATTTGGGGCCACACATAGTGCATAATTCTAGACATGAGTCGAGCCGGAAAAGGGACACGAATTTTAAGTGCCTCGTCTGAAACGTGTAAAAATAAATAATTTGAATTAATCTTGAACTGTGTAATGTCTGTGCATTTAATATGTGTGAATATGTAAAGAAATTTTAATAAGTTGAAACATTCATGAATCGTGTTTACATGTTAGGCTCGATTATACAAAGCACGATATTTAGATACAGCTAGAGTTTGATTAGAAATTTACGAGATTTAGTGTGAAAGTTTTAATCATACGTCAATTAATCAGACACTATGTATTTGTGACTAGATTATAATGTCACTGCCATTTTATAACTAATCAATTTTTATTGCATGGAATTTCTCAATGCTTTGTATGAACAAATTATTAATTTATAATTTAGAGCTAATACCACATAGACCACGAAACAAATTATTAGTTAAAAGATAGTTACGGAAGATTTATTCTTATTTAATGCTATAAATCGCCAAAAATATTTATCAGAATGTCACAAGTAGGTTTCCTTTCTCCGAAACATAAAACATGTGTTTGTACCTATTATAATTTTGAATTACTCTTATTACAATGCCAGTAAATCAGTATATTTTCGCACTAATTTTAAATTATAGCCTGGCCAAAATTGGTTAAACTAGTTGTGTTTAAATTAGAGAAAATACCGCTGATTGCTAGCTTGTGAAACCCACGATTTAGTAATGATGAAGTTTGTAAAGAATCGATCTGTACTCATCGGAATTTTGGCGCCAGTTGGTACAATGATGATTCATATAAAGCCAGAAATTTTATCAGTAATTTTAAACTACCCCCTTAAAAGCAATTTTCCACACAAACCAATCTACCAACAACACATAAGAACGTGAATAACAGATTACACTACAACAGCAGGGTTTATTCTGGAACAATTTAGAAGACCTATAATTTATAACTGATGGCACAGTAGCCTTCCCTTTCCAAATATAATTTTACAGATGCGCTGTCAATCTGCGCACACCACAATTCGAAGATTTAGCACCAATCGAGGAAGGAGAATGCAAAGATAAAAAAAAGCTACAATCGAATTTATTCGTTTTAAAACTTCGTACCTATTGCGTCGTCACGAATAGAAGGGAGAGAGAACTCGATCATTTCTACTTGGCCAACGACACTGACGGGTACCTTACGAAGGTGCCATAGTTATGAAGACACTGTAACACACCCAGAGGGCCAACACACATAGTATTCTAGAAAAGGAGTCAGTGGTTCGGAGCCAGGGAGGCGCAATCAAATTCTCTATTGTACAAGAATTTACTTAGGGGGCGACAGGTTACCTTGTGGCGAAGAACAATTTGAGTGCTGGACTCAGTGGCTTTTACTCGGCACTCAAAGTAGTTTGGGCACTTTTCAGAGAGGCAAGGTACCGTTGCTGCTCGCTGTGGAGGCAGGAAACCAATCCATGTGCAGGGAACTCCTGGGACAACAAGCAGCCGATCAACTGAAGGCAACCACGGACAACGGCGACGCGGCTATACACCTCGCGGCACGGCGTCGAGACATCGATATGGTCAGGATATTGGTCGACTATGGGACAAACGTTGACATGCAGAATGTAAGTACAGACTGGAACATTCACACTGGCATAGCTCATGTAAAAGTATTTTGCTTTCACTCTCTTTTCTTATTCTATAATAGAAGAAACGTTTACAGCAGACCTTCACATCTGTGTGGCCTCTAATAACGTTTGAAAGAACTGTAAGATTTTCATGAACGTTGTATGAATATGGAGCTGTTAAAGATAACTCCATTTAGTGAGGTTGATGGTCATCAATAATGAGGACTGTGCAATTATTTCTAAAATTATATTCTGTAACTGTTTTCGCTCAAAATCTGTAAATTATTTAATTTTCGATTCGATAGCTATAACTAATGAACCACTGGTACGTAAAATGTAAAATGACTGTAGACAATGAGTATGCCTACGTATACAAAACAAAAAGTAAATGTTAAAATTTAAAATTGAAATTTACAGACTTATCTTTAAGCTGTATGTGTGACAAGTCTATTATAGGTCTGTTTTAGGTAAATATTCTTGCCTATATGGTAAGAAGCATTCTCCAAGTTAATGCGCTTTTAACTTCTAAATTCATGCAATTGTTATTTGTTGCCGTAATCTCCAGTGTTTTCCCATGCTTTTTCGCATTTTAAAGGATTTGTATTATAAATTTTTCTTTCATTTTAGTAACGAGACATCGTACAAACCTATTTAGATTTATCTTGGTCTAGCGGTTAGAACGCTGGCCTTGTAATCCTTGGGTCTCGGTTTCGATTCCCGGCGGTGCTCGAATTTATAACTTGTGTTCGGCAAGGCCGTGGTCTAGGCAACACGGAGTTTTCCTCCGGGCTTCCCCGGTTTCTCCGTGGCATCCCAACAATTACTCCATTCACACACAGAAGAAGGCAATGGCAAACCACTTCTGGATCATCTGCCAAGAACGTATATGAACAGGGCCCAGTCCGAGAAAAGGAAAGGATGGAAGGATCCTGTTCATATGGACCTGTCCTCAGACAGAACACTAAAAATAAAAATAATTGGCACTCAGATTTATAACTTGTGTTGAGCAAGGCCGTGGTCTAGGCATCACGGAGTTTTCCTCTGGGGGCTTCCCCGGTTTCTCCGTGGCGTCCCAACAATTACTCCATTCACACCCAGAAGAAGGCAATGGCAAACCACTTCTGGATCATCTGCCAAGAACGTATATGAACAGGTCCCAGTCCGAGAAAAGGATGGAAGGATCCTATTCATATGGACCTGTCGTCAGACAGAACACTAAATAATAATAATAGACAAATTATCCCCTTACTTTAGTGTAATGCTACAAAGTGTTTGTGTCTTCTTTATGGTATTCATATTTTGAAGTTCTATTATTTACAATTTTATTTGTTAAACAAAAAATTTATCACATTTTACGTATTACACAATGTTAAAAGAAGTTTGCGTAATTACAAAATGTTAAGTTAATACGATATATAAGTTATAAGTTGGCATTAAAATCGTCTGAAAGATCATGGCGGTCATAAAGGCTAATGAATGTTATTGCGATAAAATATATCGTGACTTTAGCAGTTTTTCATAGTTTTTTATGCACATTTATTTCTAAAAATATTTTATTGCAAGCTTTTAAAATAATTTATTTTATCATACTGTCACCAATGATGGATGTGAAATTACAAGGAATGTGACTTCAAAAGTGCGTGAATTTCAAGATACATTGCACATTTGTGCCCGTTTTTCTGCTTTATTAGAATCATGTTACCTTAATAAGTTATATTCAGCCATAAAAATTATATTGCAGAAATATTGCAGGTTTTTAAAGACTTTGTAACGAAATAAAACATGTTTTATGGCTGCAGCTCATATTATGACGTCAGCAGGCTATGATAATGAAGGCATGTGATGTACACGGCAGATAAGACGAAGAAAAGTAGCTGTTGGAATTAATTTACTGGATGTAAATTCATCGCCGTGCGGTTAACCTTAAAAGCTCTGGGCAGCTCGGAAATAATGATAACTTCACTACTTCGTTATAACGCATTCTTATATCACTGAAAACAAAAACTTCGATTATTATGCTCTGGTAATAGTATCACGTGGTTCAACATAGCGACTTCCTATGCCAACCTATATACTGAATCACTTCAGTCCAACTGAAATTCTAGCCTATATTTTCTAATAAGTTTAATGTTACTGTCCTATCTTTTTCTCAGTCTTTAAAGTGGTTGTTTTTAAAGAAGTTTCCTTGCCAAATTTTTGTGTTCATTTCTTTCTCATGACCTACATGTGCATCGTACCTTTAAGTACCGTGATAATAGTCCGTGAAAATCACGGGCTTTGCTATTATATTTTATCTTGAACTTCATTCTATCCCTCGCAGGTTAAAATACAATTTATATTATAAATATGCACACAGAATAAAACAACAGCCTCATTTGCAATTAATTAACTATCTGGTAATCATTACAAGACTTATGATTGGTTTACTTGATACCTGAGGGCAAATTTTGGAATCCTGCCTTAAAACCTTCTTTTACGTCCTTTGTAGTTTATCACTTATATTCGGCTTGCAATTCCACGACATATATTTTTATCAGATAACATTTTTAGTCGTTTATATAGGCAAACGTTTTTTGAGTTTATCATTATGCAATATATCTATGATAGCAGATATATATATATATGGGGAGCCATCCTTTTCAAAACGGACCTAACCAATTGAAAATTAAAATATCTACTTCATACATCGACCATTAGCTCTTACAAATATATAAACGTATGATGTTTGACAGTACCAGTCTGTCTATAAAAAGTTTTTTTCGCAGCATACTGTCACTTGAAATGCGGAAGTCACAATAAGAAATACTTCTTATAAAGATCTGAATGTACATTTATATCACCTTCGTGTTCTAACAAGATCATATTTTACATCTGTCAGCCCCTGCTACAGTAATAAAAGTTTACTTCAGTGTGGAAAAAATCGTTGACGGGGCAAAAATATAGGACAACTTATATATCATGAGTATGGAAAAAAACGAGTAGCTTGCATTAAAGCAGTTTCGTGTAATGAAATGCGTATTATTATTATAATTTACCACACTAAAGAGGAATGCGTCTGTGTGGACACTCCGAGGAAGAGCGACGCATGTCTGTTTTAAAACAAATTATTTTTAAGAAAATAATTTGCAGAACTTAAGAATTAACAAAGCTGTGACTGGTTTATTTGTATTTATAAATTGTCAAATCTTGATACTGCCCACGTGGTCAAAAATATCAGAGAGGCTGAGTCTATTAGTTATTCGGTTTTACTAAACAAAAACATACCTAATCTTTGTTTTTTATACAAAAAAGGGCAATTTGATTTGAGTTTATTATGAGACCTGCCATTTTCAAGAAATGCCAACCTGCTTTATCAAATACGTGTTAACAGCTTAAAATACTTTTTGCTATTGGTTTCGATCCTGAGTCACTAAAATCCATTTAATATAATCAAAACCCATTTTAATATTATCTTCGTATCTTGTCGGTCCCCGGACTGCACATTCCTTACTTCAAAGATCACTTAGAAGATTTGTGGCTTCTGTTCTTCAGCCTGTAGCTAATACTAACTCCATTTAAAAGTTATTTTTGAGAAGCTGATAGTCGGTCATCTGGCCAGAAATTCTCCGCTTTTTATTAAATAGGAAGGTTTATAGTCATGTTTACAAAAGCCTATTACTGTTCCTGATCCTGAGATAGTTGAATCCAGTCCACACATTAATACCTTATTTTTAAGATCCATTTTAATATTATCCTCCAATCTGCTTGTGGTCTCTTCCCTTCAGGTTTATCGACTAAACGCCAGATATATCTAATATTTTCATGTGCATTACAGGCCTCTCTCATCTCATCCTCCATGATTTTATCATCCTAATAATATTTTGTGGAGAATACAAGTTACTTTCAAGCCTCTTAACTTTAACCTTCTTTTACCCTTATCTTGTGGACCCAAATATTTCTCTCATCACTTTGTTTCCACATACATTGAAACCAGTTTACCCTAAATTTAATAAATAAATTTACACACCTATATACAACAGCAGGTAAAATTATTTGTATATTTCAATTAGGAATATGTGGGATAAAAATTCCGAAATAAATGCTAGCAATTGTTTTCAAATTACTCTACTCTTGAACATATATTTTGACTGGTAATATTGTATGCCTATGTTTTCCACATAAAGTTTTTTACAGTAGGAAGTTTCAGCACCTTATGAAATAAGGCGTATTATTTACATATTATCACTTTAATCAGATCTGCTAATGGGGAGCTGTTTTCTGACTTCAACCGTACTGCAGAGTCACTGCGTCAAACAGCGTCAAATTTTAACCATTCCCCTCATTCTGATATACAAAAAATAGGGAGGAGCTATGACCAACATAAATTTAAAAGAAGATATTGTTTCCAGAAAATATTTTACCTTAACTATCATCTTTATTTATTTGTTAGAAGCTTTCTCATTGGTTGCACGCGATCTCCACCTGACATTTATAAATATTATATGTCATTCTTACATTAAGACAGTATAACTTTTTTTGCATCTGCTTTAGACTTCACTAAAAATATACATAGACGTTATCTCTTGTTACTTTTTGTAGAGGGAATGAAAATGAGGAGTTAAAACATTTCAGTAGACTCAGTTGCTGGTCGCTACTTGAAAGGATCGCACAGAGCTGTTCTTATTCTGTCACATCGTTAATTAGGAACAAAGTATTAACGTGTACACTGTGGAATAACGCTAGCAGACACATACATGTGTCGTTTGTAAGTAGAATAAAAATTGTCAGTAACATAATCTGGACTTATCCGTAACAATAAGTTTAGCTGATTTTTATGAATATTTGATGGTGTCGTATTAAAACTTACGTTCACCGGACCACTTAAGAATGAGGTTGATATTTTCAGACGGTTCGTTGGAGGGCATCATCTCTGCGTCATTTAAATTAGATGGAAGTTTGAATCTAATGCAGAAGAGTAAACTATGATATTGAGATATTGGGAATTTATGACGTAGATTTTATAAGCAAGTGCAATTTCTGGAATGTTCTATAATTGGATTACCCTAATATTTTCTGGATATTTGAAACTATTCACCACGTATTACTAAGGCGATAAATTAAGGAAGAAGTGGGAGACATCTGTAATATATTCGGCAGAGATAGCTTGTAAAATTCTGGTTGAAATTTCAAATTTTCACCGTAACGAATGTGAAGATAACCCCTGGAATGCTGCACCGTGTAAACTGATAGAAGTTCACCAAACTCCTCAGAGATGCTTACTGTCATCAGGGCGATGAGTAAAAACCTGGAATAAATATCACAGATAAAACGTTCATGTTAGGCATTGGAAATAAACAAACAAATCAAAATAATTCTGCATAAGGTTAGAATTACCCCTTGAAGCATTAAAGAGTCGAAAATGGTATTATCCATAAAATAACATTTATTATCGTTTAAAGCATCGATTTACAGAAATTGTTATTTACTTGTTAGTTGCAAATTAAGTTTTTAGGTTTTACTTTAAATGAAATACGTTTAACATAAAAAATTCGTAATTATTAGGTGTGGAATTTGGGTATTTGATTTTTAGTCTTAAAACTATTGCTCGATATTTTTACTACATAATATAAAAGTGACTCTCTGGTAATATAAAGAGACAGATGTCACGGCTAAAACCAAAGCAAGCCATTTTGACACGAACTTGAGCCAGTTTCGTCCATAAGTTAGTTTTTCAATATCCATCATAATTATTCCACCCACTTTGGAATTTTTCAACTGACCATTATCCAAGAGGTTCTTACCCACCAGTTAGTTTCCCATATGGTCTAGTGTGTGCTGGTAATTATTTTCTGCAAAACATGTCTACATGTTTCTTCGACGTATCCTTGTGTCAGCAGTCCCGAATTTTAAACTTCTCACCACTCTACAAAATGTGTCCTGAATATGGGACTTTATAAAGCTCAAATTTATATAAAGACAATGAAACTTTGTCTGCAGGGGGAGGGTCAGACGGCGCTCCACATTGCAGCAGCAGAAGGGGACGAAACTCTAGTCAAGTATTTCTATGGCGTTCGAGCAAATGCGGCTATCGTGGACAATCAAGGTAAGTAAAACATACAGCCGACATATTAAATTTTATCCATTATCCCCGTAGTAAATTTATGCACTAAGTGGAAAATCTGACTAAATACACATCTAAGTTGTTGTTGTTGTTGTTGTTGTTGATGATGATGGGTGACCGTCCTCGTCATGCATCAGCACTGGGGCAAGTTTCTTGGTCATAAAGTGTGCATTTATGAGCAGTGAGTGATCTAGCAGTTAATCAGGAGACGTGGGTGAGAAATGGCCGTTGAATTTTGCTTACGAAATATCTCGTATCATGCTCGTAAGGTTCTTTTACATGCCGTAAATCTACTACATGAAACCGCTTTACTTCCCCTCCGAAGGAAGTTGTGCTACGGATTTTTATCACCCTTAAAAATCCACCTACCTTGCCGGGATTGAACCCGCGAACCTTGGGTCCAGTGACGAACACGCGAACCTTGTCCACCGAGGGCGATACATATGTAAGTAATTCAGGGTTTTCCTTCAGGCGTTAATAGTTATTCAACTGTCAGCACTAAAACCCACCATAGGACAATATCCAGAGTCAGGTCAATTGACTTCACATGTATAAAAGAACTTTAAAGTAAAGTAAAGGTGTCCCAATATACGCCATGTAGGTGCATAGGGGAGAGGAGGTATAGCTCCTACTCATTCTTAGCCTCGGCATTAGATAGGGGTCAGTGGTTAGAGGCACGCCCCGGCCGTGTGTAAACGAAACAGCTACTTACGAAATTTAGAAATAAAATTCTTAATCCTGCTTACATTGCAGTAATACTGATTACAATTTTCTTCCAAATATACGTCTTATATTACATTACTAAAATTAATAATTATTATATGTAGGACAAAATTCTCAAATTGAAATTGTTATCAAATTATCTTGTACACTTTTTATCGTTCTAAAACTTTTATAATTTGGTGTTAAATTTTATTTCGTGGTGCCTGCATCATATACGATTATGACAATGCGCCAGATTTATTCTCTATTATCCCATATTTTCTTACACGTACGATAATATTAAGTAACATTTTGTTGTAATTAATGTTATATTCTTAATTATTACTCCCCATAAAATTATTTTTATACACTGATATTTCAGTCACTAAACTTTGGTCATAATTATTTATTTCTTGGTTTGCCAGAAAGCACATATCCCGCAGAATTAAAAAATGTTAATTTCGAGTTCGTGGATGTTAGTCTATTTTAAATGAGGTATTTTACACGTTTTCTTTTATTTCATTGTTATTTTAAATTCCTGTTCTTTTTTAAATTTTCTATGGGTATATGTATTGTCGAATAACATCGGCCTATATTAACTTCTGTTCAGGTTACTTCTCCATAAAAATATTCGTCAAAGAAAGATTAAAAAGCAACGTTAAGGGTGAAATTTTCCAAAAGGTTTTATTCTTAATTCTGAGCTGAGCGAAGCGGAGCCGAGGCTGTGCGCGCCACTCCTCACAGTACTCGGTATTCCACAGATTACAAACATAGCTTGGTAGTATCCCTGCCTGAAGTCCAAGGCCACTCATTAGTTCGCCATAAATCGAGGGGAAGAAGACAGGTGTTTATGTAGGACGGATTGACGATGAATGTAGCGTCTACCATCGTAAAGAATCGTTTTTACTGTGATACGCAATTTGTATGTAGCCGTGATATTGTTCATTACTATCAGTTGTCATCCATCGCAGCGACCGCGTGTTCTAAGGAGCGCTGGGATTTAGGGAAGACGGATTCAAGTGTTAGGCCATGGAAATACGTGTATGTCTGCTTTTTTGTTTCTGGCGTTGGTTGAGGCCATGTCTTGTCCATTGAGTTTAATCAAGTGCTCAAAGAATTCGCTGTATCGTTCTCATTTATGAATCAGAACAACCCAGAGGGTCTAATCCATGGGTTTTCAATCCATGGCCCGTCCATATATTTTGTGTGGACCGCATATATAAAAAAATGTATCACTTTCTACAATCAAAGAATGGTTATTACCTAAATTAAATATCTGATATTAGGTGAATAACTGAAATAAATAAACCAACAAAAAAGAGAAGTTAATTATTAAAATCCGTGGCGTAACAGTTCCAGAGAGCCAAAGCCGACTAGCTTGACTGCTGGCCTCACGTTCACATGCCTAAGCAGAGGTGAACGATCATCCAACCAGTCTATAAATCTGCGACAGTAAGTTTGAAGCAGTTGTAATAAATTGTACAGTACACTCGCTATTTTATAACCTGGCGGCAATTGACTTGAAAAGAAAGGATGAAAGTGGTTTTAGGTCGTAAAATGTTGATAACCCTTGGCCTGATCCATGGAAATGGGACACTAATGGTTGTGAAGATAAGCTTTGAAAGTACTGATGACATGCAGCTGCACAAAGAGGGTGGGCGGAGTAGGCGACGATCCAGGTACTCGCGGCTGTAGGGGCCTTGCGTGCCTCAAACCGGTACTTGTGTGTATGTGAATTGTCTTTTCTCCGTATATTATTACCATGGTTTTTTCTGAGACAGAAAACAAATAAGAAGGAATTGAGGAAGTTTCGGGTAAAAGCCTGTGGAGAGTAAACGAAATTTTTTAAAGGCCTTCCACAAAATGGTATTGCTGACGACAGATTGATTGTGTAATGTTAGGTCACATTATCACTTATCCTAACAGTTTGTATCAGTTTTAGATCGTTAAATTATAATAACTAAAACCACCTAAATGGCTCACATGTATTTTTTAAGGGGCCACCGCCACTGATTATATGAGTTGTGATATTCTATGTAAAATGCTATGTACTCTTGAAATTTGTTACCAGCCTATTACTTGCAACATCAGTGAACTTTTCTACCTTGACGGAGGCAATACATTCCTCTAAAATACTCAGAACTGCCTAGAAGACTATGGCATCATAACCCAGAAGACCACAATCCAAATTTCCGCCGCTGTGAAAATCTCACATCGACTGATAATATTCTTGTGTCCACAGATCGAACTCCTATGCATCTAGCAGCAGAGAATGGACATGCAACAATAATTGAACTTTTGGCTGACAAGTATAAGGCCTCTATCTTTGAACGTACAAAAGATGGCAGCACACTCATGCACATTGCATCCCTTAATGGGCATGCAGAATGTGCCATGATGTTATTCAAGAAGGGCGTCTACCTACACATGCCGAATAAGGTAACTGCTTTATTTCAGTGGTTGCAGGAACACAACAACAATGAAAACTTTATGCATCCTTCACCCTGATATTGTTTCAGGGAGGAGCAAGAAGCATCCATACCGCCGCGCGGTATGGTCATGTTGGGATCATCAACACACTTCTTCAGAAGGGGGAAAAAGTTGATGTCACTACTAACGTAAGTAAGAACAAAATTTTGGCATTGACATCAGTTTGAGTCTTTTTTTTTTTAATTGCTTTCAAATTTTATGTGCTTTTCAACAAAATGCTTATTACAAGGTAAAAACCTGCCTTGTGATTGAATTCCACGGGACATGAAAACTGTTTTCCTTTCCATCAGGATTCAATTTATCACAGGTGCATGCCTCTGGATGAAAACAGATGACTACATAACACATACTTCAAGAAAATATGTATTTTTGTCAGAATTCATGATATACTGCATAATTACTGAGTGGTATGTTCTTTCAGTTGTAATTATTATGCTTTAGTATGTTTCCAGGGTCCATTAAAGAGTACTTTGCACTTACTCTGTTGATATTCAGACTTGATTATTTCATATTTGTGACATGAATATTCCTTTCTCAGACAAATTTCAGGAAGCACACTGAATAACAACTGTATTAAGTAGGAGCACATGTTTTAATGGAATGCACCTACCACCACTGTTGATGAGAATTTGTAGGATGATTAAAAAAAGTCAGAATTTTAATACAGATAAATATTCTTCTGTAACCTCTTTTGACTCCTAAATCATTTGATTTTAATGAAATTTAATGTAGTCGGTGTACACAAATATTTGCGAAGCAAAGATTGCTGTCACCATATAAACCTATTTTTCTCATTTTGACTAATCTCATCTTTCTCATCCAATAAATTTCAACATAGACGACACTTACTAAATGTTATCATGATTATTCTGTTTTGAGTAACATAGATCTGTCAGTGTTTAAACACACAAAGATAGACATAGTGATTTACAAATGTGCTTATTTCTGATATGCTGTATGTTTTTCATTTGTTTTAAAACTGCTATAATTATGTTGCTATGAGACCTATACAGGAAAAAAAATACCTTAAAACATCAACGGAAGCTATGAAATTTTATTTTGGTCTTGTTTTTGCACTTTGCCTGCTGAATACACATATAGTTCCTGCACAGCCATGTTACTAGAGAAACTGACTACGCTACCATCTCACAAGGTACTGATAGTGATCACCGCATGCTACACTCCGCACTATAGTGGAAACATGTGAGTCACAATGAAGTTTTTTTGTAAGGTACTATTTTGCTGTGTATGTCATAAAACATACTTCTCACCTCTCTTGTCATATGGGAACTGAAACTTAAGAATATGGACTAAGAACTGTGTAAAAAGTATGAGTCGGAGATCTACTCAAGACATTCATGTGAGCAAACACAGTTATATTATGAGTAAATTTCAAGTGTGTCTCAACTGGATCAAGCACAGTTTTGACAGCAACTCATTTACAGCCAGAAGAGTCTGAGACTCAAGCGGTTAGATGCTAGTTGTGTGTGTAACTACGTCGTGGATGCAGAAACACTACTAGCATCTTCTCTAAGGGAATGGCATGCTTAAAGATGTCTCCACTTATGCAATGTTAATTGTTGTAACAGTATTATTATTTATGTTTAATGCAGTTAAATTTGGTACAATAACCATTGTGTCACTGTTGATGTTGTATCTGTTGTTATTAAAGACAGTTCATATTGGAGCAGATCCTTTGTTAGCTTTATTTTATTCATTTTGCTTTGTAGGTAGTAGTGCAACATCATAGACCTACCGTGTGAGATGATTCATTGCTGTTCTATTCATGTATTGTGTTCTTGTGTATGTTAAAAGGCATGCATCTTAGTATTATTTATTGTTTATGATCTTAATAACATAAATTTATTACTGTTATCACGCATGCATATGAATGACTACTGGTAAATAATATAGTGCAGTCACATGCTATAAACATGATTGACATAATGGTTGTTTCTCATCTGGTAAAACCAGCGTCATCATTCCAACTATATATAAAATGTAGTGTTTATTTTTGTTGCACATTGAAATGGATAAGAGCAATGGAAATAGTGATGGCTCACCGCTCAAGCTGTCTTGAACTAGTTCTAGTTATGATGTCACATTGTTTGAACCACTGAAACAGTGCTTAGTCCGATCCCTAGTGAGTAGATTATAGGCAGCAGCTCTGTTATATAACAATGACAGCAATGATGGTGGTGACGATAAATACATAAAAGTTAATATATCAGACCCATATATGTATGTATTTAACTGTATACTAGAAAGGAAAAAAATAAACAGTCAATTAAAACTGTGATGTGGTAATACCGAGTAATGATAGACAGTGATTCAGTTATTGGTGAACATGGCTGAAAACATAAAACTTAGCATGTTATTACTGTAGAGTAATTTTACTATAGTGAGCATTCATTACACAACTGAAAAGAGATTAATTTAAGGTTTATATATAAAAAAGGAACTCATGTATAGATAAATGTTGGAGTTGAGTTAGATTTTTCTTCTGCCTTTCTACTTTTAAAATTCTCTGTTCTTGCACATTCTATATTGCAGGACAACTACACAGCACTCCACATTGCAGTTGAGTCAGCCAAACCAGCTGTTGTGGAGACACTGCTCGGGTATGGAGCCGATGTTCATGTCACAGGCAAGTGTTACATTCTGCAACATTTGTTTTAGGAAAGTCTGTTCCTGCTTGCTAAACACATTTTAAGATATATAATTTTTTGGTTTTTAAGTTTAGTTTCTGATTCACATCCTTGCAAAAGTTCATGAAGTGCAGACCCTAAATCATTTCCTTTTTCTTTCTGTCACTTGTAGGTGCATTAACAAAGACCATTAATTAAATGACTCTTTCAAGTTTATAATCTTCATCGCAGAAATCAATTTGACTCAAGCAAGTCAGCAATTATATTTTTAAAACATTGGCTCTGTCTGGTCACTGACTAATATGTGTAACACTGGAAGCTGATATCTATCTTATGTAACTAGGCGGAAAGCTACGTGAAACACCACTGCATATTGCTGCACGTGTGAAGGATGGGGACAGGTGTGCCCTCATGCTCCTTAAATCTGGTGCAGGCCCCAACATAAAGACAGATGATGGTCAGACACCTGTCCATGTTGCAGCAAAGCATGGAAATTTAATAACTCTGATGCTCCTCATGGATGATGGTGGAGACCCACTTCGAAAATCGAAGGTAATGATGAGTTTATTTTCTTGTCTTCCTGGATTTTTCAACTTAATTCCTGTGCCAAACTTTAAGTCTTATTTCAGATTTGTCACACCATCTTCATAGTCCTCTAAGTGTGTACCCATTAATGCTGACATGTATCTGCACTTCAGTACCTTCAGTGCTGAAAATTAATAATTACTCAGATAAGTAGAATAAAATTTTAAGAGTATATTTTTATAAATGTAATATCTTTTCACAGCTTTAATAAATTTTGTAGTACATATCAACCTAGCTTTCACTGCCAGCATCAACATGCATCATGGGCAATATTATGACTGCAAAATCAATGTTAGATGGCTTAATGCAAGGTGTTTTCATATTATGTATGATTTGAGGTTTTCACTGCGATGAGTATGAAGATTTCTGTCTTTTGGGTTGTTGCGCTGTGTAGTCTGGTTGATGTTTACCAACGTTTCAGAGGTCATACTGCCTCCGTCATAAGGTTTCAATAGTTGACTCTGTTTCCATCTTTCTGTTTATAGAGTTTTCCTTTACCTCCTCCCACTAACCATTTTTTTACACTAATGGTGAAGATCTAACCCAGAATTATTAGCTTTCAAGTTTAACGCTCAAAGGGTTCATAGCAGAGTCCTTCTTGAGAAGTGAATCATTGCTCAGCCAGTCAAGAAATTTGCCACCTTTTACAGATTAAAAATTATTACATCATATTTCTTAAGAACCACCTTGATATTAATCTTCCATGTTAAGGTTGTCAAATGGTATAGTCTCTTCAAGTTTTATTTATACATTTCTGTATGAATTTCACATTTCGTTATGCTGCATGTTCACCTCCGTAATACTCCTTGGTTTTGTTATCCGAACAGCAATAATCACAACTTATCACCTGAATACAGGCATAGAGCAAAGTTTGAAAATGTAGTGTATATTAAATATACTTTTTGATAGATGTTTTATACAGGGACTTTTTACAGAGTGGAGAAACCCCATTGCATCTGGCATGTCGTAGCTGTCATGCAGATGTTGTTCGTCATCTGATCACATTTGTTCGTGATAAGAAAGGTGCTGAGGCGGCAAAGAATTACGTGAATGCTGTAAATGATGAGGGTGCTGGCGCACTCCACTATGCGGCTCAGATCACTAAGGATGAGGTGGAAGAGCCTTTAAGTGACAAGGAGGTTATGAAACTTCTGCTAGGTGATGGAGCTGATGTGAACCAGGCAACTAAGCAGGTAAAACAGCTGCTGCACTAGGCTGTGGAATTCAGCATGATGGCATTTCCCTTTAAAATACGTAATGTGTGAGGAGGAACATGAGTAGAAATTTACTCCTGTGGAGCACATATATTTGTTGGCCGCAGTGGCCACGCGGTCTGATGCATGGACCTCGTGCGACTGGCCGCTGGGACCGTGGGTTCGAGTCTCACTCAAGGCATGGATGTTTGTCCGCGTCTTTCTGTATTTGTATAGGTAGAGGCCCTGCGTTGGGCTGATCACTCATCCAAGAAGTCCTACCATTGTCCAAGTAGATCAAAATGAATAAATAAAAAAATCGACACCTACGGGTAAAAGAGGATGAGCGAAAGAAAGAAAGAAAGAAAGAGCACGTGTATTTAAAATGTGTTATTTGCTGTAATGCATATATTTTTGGCTTTAGTGTTTATTCATTGCAAACATAGGGTTTTTGTTGCAGACATAATAACATTACAGAGTTAGCAATTATTTTTCCTTGCATTTTGTTATCAAAACGTATTTAAATTAACATATTTAATGGAATATTCTAATTCTTTATATAATGAGCCAGTTTTAGATAACTAATAAATGTTAACTGAACTGCTTCCATCTTTAGGGTACAAATACCTGTAATATTTTATACTGTCACAATCTAGAAGACCAGTGCTTATGTAAATCACATGCCCAAGTTCTTTTATTATAAATGTCTTAAAATATGATTTTGCATTATGCAATGGAATGTGGTAATTTTAAGAGTATGGTGGAATGTCACATTCTGCTTGCAGGCACAGGAGACACCTTTTCATTATGTAGCCTTGGCAGGCAACAATGATGTGCTGGTAGAGATGCTCTCCCATTTGGGCCAGACAGAGGTGCAGAAGGCCTTGAACAGACAGAATTCAATAGGCTGGACACCCCTGTTGATTGCCTGCCACTCTGGCCACATGGAGATGGTGAACACTTTGCTAAACAACCACGCCAGGGTAGATGTGTTTGATAATGAGGGTCGTTCAGCCCTCCATCTTGCTGCTGATAGAGGGTATCTTCAGGTGTGCGATGCCCTGCTCACTCACAAAGCATTCATTAACAGCAAGTCTCGAGTTGGTCGCACAGCACTTCATCTTGCGGCTCTCAATGGCTATGCCCACCTGGTCAGGTATGTCAGACAATATTGACATCCTTTTAGAACATATTAATAACTTAATCAAACTAACTGGCCACGAACCTAGTAGATCAAAATGAATAAATAAAAAAATCGACACCTACGGGTAAAAGAGGATGAGCGAAAGAAAGAAAGAAAGAAAGAGCACGTGTATTTAAAATGTGTTATTTGCTGTAATGCATATATTTTTGGCTTTAGTGTTTATTCATTGCAAACATAGGGTTTTTGTTGCAGACATAATAACATTACAGAGTTAGCAATTATTTTTCCTTGCATTTTGTTATCAAAACGTATTTAAATTAACATATTTAATGGAATATTCTAATTCTTTATATAATGAGCCAGTTTTAGATAACTAATAAATGTTAACTGAACTGCTTCCATCTTTAGGGTACAAATACCTGTAATATTTTATACTGTCACAATCTAGAAGACCAGTGCTTATGTAAATCACATGCCCAAGTTCTTTTATTATAAATGTCTTAAAATATGATTTTGCATTATGCAATGGAATGTGGTAATTTTAAGAGTATGGTGGAATGTCACATTCTGCTTGCAGGCACAGGAGACACCTTTTCATTATGTAGCCTTGGCAGGCAACAATGATGTGCTGGTAGAGATGCTCTCCCATTTGGGCCAGACAGAGGTGCAGAAGGCCTTGAACAGACAGAATTCAATAGGCTGGACACCCCTGTTGATTGCCTGCCACTCTGGCCACATGGAGATGGTGAACACTTTGCTAAACAACCACGCCAGGGTAGATGTGTTTGATAATGAGGGTCGTTCAGCCCTCCATCTTGCTGCTGATAGAGGGTATCTTCAGGTGTGCGATGCCCTGCTCACTCACAAAGCATTCATTAACAGCAAGTCTCGAGTTGGTCGCACAGCACTTCATCTTGCGGCTCTCAATGGCTATGCCCACCTGGTCAGGTATGTCAGACAATATTGACATCCTTTTAGAACATATTAATAACTTAATCAAACTAACTGGCCACGAACCTAACTTCTAACTTTCTAATTCCATTGTACAAGCTAATACTTGAGCAGTCTGTTGTTAATTAGCCAGCTGTCAAATGTCATGTTATGGTATATGAAGGCTCAAATTTATCATCAAAATTCTGAACTGGACTCTTTCCTGACTCTATTTATTCCAGTTCACGTCTTCATAACTTTATCTCCAGATCCATTCTAATATTAACCTACCATCTATACCTAGGTCTATCAAATGATCTGTTGACAAATGTCATGGCCAGCATTTCAGTGCATTTTTTTTCCTTGTCCAAGACCACAATAAAATTAAAAAAGTAATTACAATTCTTATGTGACACAGGTTCCTGGTCCAAGACCACAATGCAGTGATTGATGTGCTGACGCTAAAAAAGCAGACTCCACTACACTTGGCATCAGCGGCAGGACAACTGGAGGTTTGTCGATTACTTCTGGAGCTGGGAGCAGACATTGATGCCACAGATGACGGTGGACAGAAACCCATTCATGCTGCAGCCATGAACAACTATGCTGAAGTTGCTCAACTGTTCCTCCAGCAGCATCCCTCCCTTGTGATGGCATGCACGAAGGTGAGCAACCTCAGCATTGAATGCCAGCTTGTTAATCAGACCCTCTATTATATGACCAATGCAACTGAATGTCATTATTAAGTTGTTAGCACTCTTGCGTCATATATGTGAGGTTTCTGTTAATCTCAGCCTCGAGACTGGCATTTCTAACTGAGAATGCTATTGGTGTTCCTTAGGAAAACATTGAGGGGGGGGGGGGGGTTT